CTCCAGAAATCCAAGCATCATCACAAACAGCTCCTTTGTTCAGCGTTCTGTAGGTCGGTTTCTTACCGGTACGTCTCTCTGGACTCCGACGTGTCCTTGTACACAGTTTGGTGCGTCTCAAATTGATCACAGCAGACAGAGTGAAGATTTAAGCATTGTTTATTTATAGCTACATTTGGATGAAAACGTGTGTTTGGAACAATCTGAGAACACGAACAGACGGCGGAGAAGTGTTACTAATTAGACGTGCCTTTTTCCTGCTGAGACAAACCAGCAGGAGAACGGCCTCCGTCAGGCTGTACGTGGACAATTTGATGCTTAAATCCAACAGAAATAACAGAAATAACATCCATTATGAGACATGTCCAGAATGAAAACAAGTTTATTGTCCCTTTCTAAAACAACAACAGTATATATTATTATTTTTTAAAAATCTAAACATATCTATCCATCAAAACTGGTTCTGCAATCAGTTCCCTTGATCGTCTCGTCCTAGAAGGTTTTGAAGTTACAAAAATATACACCTGGTTAGAAAAATAATCACCTCAAGCAGCCTTTTAGTCCAAAACCTCTGAGAAAACTGAGCTTTCATCGTTTCATCATTCTTAATTACAGCGACACACACTTCATCCAGCTACTGACCAGCTCCTCTCTGCTGGTTTCTTTCTCTCAGGCAGCTATCGGTTGATTTTACAACAATAAATGCACCGAAAGGGGGATTTTCAGAACGCTCACAACTGCTTAAATGTACAGGATATAAAAAAATAATGTGATGCAGCAAAACATCCACTTTAATGCACAACTGAATTTAATTTTTAAGTCTTTCTGCATCTCCTCAAACTGCCTGAAAGAAAAGGAACTCAGCGTAGAAGCCAACAACATGACGAATGAGATGAAACGTGTGCGTCAGCCCTGAAAACAGCAGGCGACGTACAGATGTTCAGACACATAAAACATCAGTGCTGTCCATGAACTTGGTATAAATGAAGGTCAGAGAAGTCGATCGAGTGTTTTTGTGTCGGTCGGCCTTGTGTAGCGCATGACAACGCAAAAAGAAAGAAAAGCATTGAGCTGACTTGACCAACATATACAGATTCTGAAGTGACAATAAATACAGTACAAAGACAGTTCAGTAACGCAGAGATGGCAGAAATCGCAGGATCTGAAGTCAAAGTTTTGGCAAGTTTCTGTTGTTGCAGTACGACCTGAGTCTTGTCCATCGACAGTCGGTAACATTACGGCAGTGCAGCTGCTCCAGAACAACCAATCGCGTCCCTTTATGACACTAAACCCAGAACCGTTCTCAGCAGACTCGTGTAACGGACGCGTCTTCAAAAGCCACGGATTACATAAGAACCGCCGCCGGTGGGATTCTTAATATTTGTACAAGTCTGTGGGAAGCGTTCTGATAAAACAGGGATGATCTACACTATCGATGTACAGCATCTCTAGTTAATAATGAGAAGAGCCAGAAATGGGAGTCATGTGAAAGGGTGACAAGAAACGCCTTGTTCCAGAACAAGGACCGTTTAAAAAGATATCGAATAATAAAATATGTTTAGAGGGTCCTAAAAGATCTCGATGTACAAATACAGTCATTTATAACATTTAAAGACAGCTTAGCTAAGTAGCAGGAAGTTTTTCAATCTGCATTAAACACACAGTGACAGACGAACACACATTCTCTGAATTTAAGTAACTGCAGACGTTCACTGACTTTTTAGGGGTGAGTTCCTACTAAATGGTTTTTAAATATCTGAACTAACGTCCTGAAGCAGAAAGAAGAACGTCCTGGAGTCCTGTAGGGATGCTACAGACTTCAATTACACTCTGAAGCAGCACCACTGAATCTGTTCTCTGTCAGATTTGTTCCTACGACGCTCAGTCACGTGGACACAAACACAAAATAAACAAACAGTACCAGAGGAAATCATGTCCTATAAGCTGAGCTAATCAGTATTAACTCATTAAATATATTCAGTCATGTAAAAACAACCTCTCCCTCTGTGACCACATGTTTCTGTCCTACCTGAGAACCAAATCAGCTTCACTTCACTTAAACTTGCAGGACAGGAAGTGTAGAAACTAAAAGTCTGTTTAGTGTGATGTTCTGCATCCTAAAGACTACGTACAAGAATTTGGAACGTGACATGAAAACTGTAGTTTCCTAACAAGCAAAGCAAATTTCTTAAGCACAGTTATCACAAAAAAACCCAACATTTTTTTCCCTTTTCATTGCCTGCTGCTCTCTGATCTGTGGGGTTTAGGTTCAGTTTGGTTTGACTTCTGAGGAAGAAACATCAAACCACACATGAAACAGTCCCTGAAGCATTCTGATGTTTTTATAAAAACAGTGAAACTCATTAACTTGATTACTTGTGAGTAATTATTGCCATTAGTTTCATTTAGTTAAAACCTCTCACACAGTCTACTGTCCAGCTGCTGACAGATGAGCCAGAGGAGGCTCAGTCACATCCAGCTGTGCTCAACCTCTGTCTCCTGCAGGCATTCGGAAAGGAATTGCTCAAATCGCTCTGTAAAATGCTAAAGAAACTGTGCTTAAATCAAGCTTAAATGCAAAAAAAACTAAAATCTTTTCTGTTCTACAAATCCAAACGCACACATTTCAGTCAGTTTCTGTCTCAACAACCAACCACTGCAAAAAAAATGTCATAAAACTGCAGCTATTATGTGCAGTTTCACCATGTTCCTGCACCGTGGGCTGCTTTAAATAGTCCTTAATCATTTCTACGTGGAGTCTGGGATGCTGACCGTCCCTCTTGCTCCTGAACATGCTTGTGTGGATCAGCCTGAGCCACCGTGTTCGTTTCCAGTTTACTGTGTCTGAACAGTGGGTTATTTTTCAGTGCACACAGACCAGACAGCTGGCAGACGGTGAGGAGATATGAACTGAATTTAACAAACGCTGAGTTGAATTAGAATCACTGACTCCACTTTTAAGCCTTAATCTGCTGTTAAGAAAATACTTGCGATCACGTTACTTGGTTGGTTTCAGTGAAATTAAACAGCGACTACAGCTTTTAAAACGTTTAAGTTCCCTTTGAGGTGATTTTGGCACGTAGAGAAATATTTATATATGAGGCCCTGACCTTCCATGTTTCAGTAATCCAGCAGCTATCGTTGCCAAGAGGCTCCACAGAAAGCAGATGAAACAGAAAACGTACATTAAAACATCTCACGGCGTCCTTAATGTACATCTATTGAATTCCCATTCAGGGAAAAACTGTAAAATAATATAAATTGCACCTTTGTGAAAAAGTTCATTAAATAGTTTTGTGAATTTTGCTGAACTCCGAAATGGAAACTGAACGGATGTTTTACGAAAGCACGACGAAGACGATACTGCAGTTCTGTGATACGTCCAGAAGAGGGCGATGTGCTACTTTCCTCTGAACAGTGACCTCTGATGTGGAGAAACATACCAGAAGGATCCACGGCGAGCTGAGCGTCAGACGTCCTGTGTTCAGCAGAAGGTGAAGGAATACCTCTCTCTCCTCCTTCCACTGTGTCTGGTAGTTTGGCTGGTTTCTGCTGTTTCCACGTCCAGAAGCTGTAAAGTCACTTCCTGTCTGTTCTTATGCAGTCGACTCCTGCTGGATCTGGATGAAGCAGGCCTGCAGAAGAAGCACGTGGACATGTTGGAGAGCTGACGTGGTGACAGGTTGGGTTAACTAGCCAAACTAGGTCGACTATCAGTGAATGAATAACTAAAATAACAGAGGAATGTGTAATTCTATCCAGATCAGTGATAAAACAAGTCATGGACAGTCATAAAAATCAAACAAATAGAAATTTCCACCACAAGAACATTGTAAGTGGGTCAAGAAATTCTCATGACGACCAAACATGCACGTCAACCAGAGAAACCAGGGACTGGGCAGGTTCCAGTATCAATAATACCAACCTATAAAATGTGCCAGAAACAGATTTACAAGTCCCAACACATAATATCTCAAATGCAGTAAAAAAAAAAAAAACACCAGGATGTCCTGCAACATCTGGTTGCATTTTGCAGTATGCAAGTCAGTATGTTTTTTTTCTGGCTATTCTGACCCACAATCCTCTGCACAGCAGAAGATACTTCCCATATGTCACAGTATCTTGCATGAGCGTAAACAAGTTTGAGCTGCTGAGACAGAGGACGGCTCATACCGCACTGCAGACGGCGACGGGTAAACGAGCAAGACGGGGAAAGTTTAAGGTGCGATAGTATGACTAAGTAAAAACCAATTGTGCATGTAACAGTGAAAAATGTGAAAAAAAAAGTAGGAAATCAGGAATGCAGTGATGATATTTAGTTAATGTATGTTAGTTCCAGATGCTAGAAAGGGCCTGAAGCATTTCCCAAAGCTAAGGAGGTGGAGTGTGAAGCTCTGAGGTCCAACACAAAACAAGAAGGTTTCTAGTCGGATATTTTTAGTATTTAATAACTTTAAAAACAAAGGAACTGTTCTTGAGCTTCTAACTTGTTTAAAGAGTAGTTTTCTAATATTAAGAGGTAAAGAGAGAAATGATTGTACGAGAATGGAGTAAATTCATAACAAATGTAACATGATACTGTTCTCTCAGGCTTCACCGTGTTACTGTGGGTGTCTGGTGTGTGTTTGTAACGTCGTCCCACCTTCAGTGTCGTGAACATCAGCCCCATCTCTCCGTGCTGAAGGTTGGGATCCATCAGATCTTCTATCAGACTGACTTCAGCTCCCAAGTTCCTGATCCTGAAGAGCAGAGCACCAAGAACACAGAATGTACAGTCACCAGCCTGCAGTCTGTCCGTTCATCACCTTGAGTTTCACGTCAGGATACAGAAGCTCTGTAGTTAAAATGAGTTGTTAATATCAACCACCTGAATATACTTCTAACCTGTCTTCATAGCAGTGAGATTTTAATTTGACCTCTAAAAATTGGACACGTTTAACTAAACCGTCAAACCGTATGAGCATAAATCCAAACATGTAATACGAACAACAGCAAGAATAAGACAGTAAGACACCTACTGTGTGTGTGTGTGTGTGTGTGTGTGTGTGTGTGTGTGTGTGTGTGTGTGTGTGTGTGTGTGTGTGTGTGTGATAACAAACCTCGCTCTGAGCACCACATAGAGGAAGAGCGGGAACAGGTCGTCCATGCACCAGAGGAAGTTCCCGTCCAGCATAGGTTTCACCTCCTGGGTCAGCTCCTCAAACGTCTTCTGAATGACCACGAGTTTGTCTGACGGAGTGAATGTGGTGCTGTGTGCAGAGGAGGACGCATGTAACAATAATAATGACATCCAGTTGTTTAATTTACAGTGTACTGTGGGAAGATACAGATTATGTGTGGCAAATAATCTTTACAGCCTTTTCCTTAACAATCCATTATGAAGCACCATTACATCCACCAAAACCAAACTGAACTAAGCGATCCTCGACAGGCTTTAATAGGAACAAAGACACACACAACTCCTCCAAGCTAATCTGCTGTATTAATGAATGAGAGCTCCGAGGGTCTTCATGCACATCCTCTGTGTAATGACATATCAGGGGAAGTACGATTCAGTGACTTGTCGTTCCAAGTCACATGACAGCTACCTGATCTGCTGGAGTGTCTCCACAGAAGAAACAAAACAGGCGTCTTTACTGCTGGACACGATCTGTGATGAAAGTAGAGAGAACCAGTTACAGAGGACGACATGAGAGCTGCAAACACACGCAGCACATTCTAACATCGTACATAACTAGTGGAGGAAAGGGCTGGACGTGGACACAAGTATGGAGAAAAGATATAGAAGGAGAGAAAAAAAAATAGTATCGGACCTGCTTCTTCTCCCCCAGAATCGACATCCAGAGCGGCCAGAACTTCCTACAAGAGAGAAAAAAAGTATAACTGCTAAAATGCATAATGAACAAACGTCAGACAAATCAATGAAATCTTCAAAGTGAGGAAACTTCTAGTGTATTTAAGATGGAGGCTACCAATGACTAAAACAGTAAACTGAACACTGTTTAGAAGTTCTGCGTGTGCACACTCACTCCTGCACCCCCAGGAAGCTGAGCAGCGACTGGTCGGGCTGCTTGTTGAGTCGGAGGATGCGGTCCCAGTACTGGGCCTCCTCCTGCTCCTCCTGCAGACAGTACAGAGTGAAGAGAGGAGGATAGAGCCGGGGGAGCAGCAGAGGGAGGAGCAGAGAGGAGCAGCTCACCACCACCACCACAGAGCTGGAGGACAAGGAGGAGGTGGAGGAGAGAAGTACGTAAAGATAACCATCACTGCATTCAGGTCTATTTCCATATGATATACGTGTGTGTCGACACTCACTCGTACTCTGCTCTGTTAGAGTTGTGTCGACTTCTGGTTGGAGAGGAAGGAGGTTCTGGGATCACACCGCCGTCCTCTGGTAACCCGGGAAACAGAAACCTGGAGGCGGGATATTAAACTCACATTTACTAACTAGACTTTTAGGCTAAGTTAAAGATATCTATATTTAAATATATACTACTTTTAATTATATTTATTCAGAATGTGAAGAGTTCACTTGCAAAAACAGATAATTCCATTTTTGGAGATTTTCAGAAAACTTATTTTTTTGTTGTTTGCTTGAGATAAAATCAATGAAACTGAAGCTGAGTGGATCTGACTCAGTGGAAATGACACGAAAAATAGAGATAACTTAAGTTTGATTGATGTCGTCTCAGGTAGACGATGGAAAAGTGGGTTTTCTGAAGGTTTGTGAAGATGGAGTTATGTTTTTGCAAATTATATCTTCATTTCTTCCCTGTGTTTTGATGCCTGAAGTGCAATAATAAACCTGTTAGACTTTAGCATTGTTGCAAAAATGATAGGTTTCTTTTTCACATGTTAATATAATTTTTTAAGCACTTTTACACAACAAATACAGAGCAAAGACGAGTCCTGAGAATTGCCAACTATTGAAACGTGTCAGTATTTCCCTCCCACCAGCAGACATCGTGTCTGAGAAGCCTACAACTCTCAGTAACATCAGAGCCAGGTGGGTTTCTACAGTCTCAGTGTTATGTATACAGAATTTGCTGAGAGTCAACCTGAGGGTCCCATAATAAAGACAGAGCGCTGAGGAGGTGAATCTACCTGACGATGCTGTAGAAGTGTGTGAGGTAGGCCAGGACCTCTTGGACCGCCTGCCGGATCAGCCTGCGGTTGGACCCCACGCCGACGTAGGTCATCCTGTAGGCCGTGACCAGCGTCTCCACCAGCCAGCCCAGAGGGTGGTGGGGCGTCTCACACGCCTGACGTGAACACAGGCCACACATACACACAGATGAACACTGACAGCTGTCCAAGATTAAGGCAGCATCTGCTTTTGTTGGGGTAGCATCAGTCACAGAGGGTCCACCTTCACCTCTTCTCATTAACAGATTATCTACCTGCATGTCGGCAGTTTATTACCTCCATCTCACCAAAATGAGTGCAGTCTGATAATAACAGTCAATATGACCGTCATGAAAGTGAACGATTTCAGAGTTACTGATTCAGATTTGTTCTGATTATGTTGTTGTTATTTTGGAAGATGCAGTTTATGGTGCTTCTGTAATTCAGTCTGCCCTCACCGACACAGTTCAACACGTAGATAAAGACAAAGACACACAGAGAGTTTGAGTTTTACACAAAGAACATCATCTACCTTCGTGAGGTATCTTCGTATGCTGTCATAGTTTGCAGTAGTGACTGGTTCTCCATACTGAGGAATAAACTCCAGACTCTCCAGCACTTTGGTGTGAGACCTGCTGAGGTCTGGGCTGCAAACGTACACACAGACGTTCATTTATTTAAGTTGACAACTGTATATATAAGAGAGGATTAGTGCCTCTGCAGAGACTGCAAGTATTTGCAGAGTTCCATCTTTGTTCTTCAGGCTCGTAGCTTCGGCACATTCAGCTTAAAATAAACATTACATTAAAGTCTCAGCTTTATTTTGAAAAGGTTTACATAATTTTATCTGTGTGGCATATATAGGCCTTTCAACACATATCTATAAATGCCAGTGTGGCAGTTTAATTGCCTCAACCGCCACGTTTGACGGATGAGGTGGTGCTTTGGATCATCGGCTGCTCCTTTTTGCTTTCTATAATCCTGACAAAGGTCGACTTTCATTTAATCTTCCCATCGTACACAGAATTCTATCAGCCTCCTTTTGTGTGATTTTGTGAACTGCAACCTTGCTTTTCTGTTTTTAAGACTCATTGTGGTTCTGTGATAAAAGATCTCCCTCACGGTTCTTTTGCTATCGTCACAGATTGATTTAAAGTAAAGCTGAGACTCTAATGCAGAATCGATTGTTTTATGAACAATACTTCCTAGTTTCAGGGTTGTGTGTGTGTGTCTACCTCTGTCGTCGTGCAGTCGTGATCGTAACAGCGATGTTCTCCCAGGCTGTGGTTCTGTCTCCTCTGCCAGCAGCTTCACAGCCCAGCCGACTCCAACACTCATCAAACACGCAGGTCCACCGCTGAGCTGCAGGCATCACGTACTGACCCAACCTGCTGTATGTGCACACAGTTTCATATTTATTAAAACAATAACACAAGTTAACACTAAAGTCTGTCGTAAATCAATAGTGCTCTCCACTGTCCGTCCTAAACCCCTCCCACCAGGTGAGCACACGCTTCACACAGGTAAACCAGAACAGAAGCAGGTGCAGGTGAGAAGCCCAGGAGCTTATCATGTCATTCAGATTGTTATGTCATTAAACATTCCCTTTAATTGCCACGGTTGAGTCTAAGATTAGATAAAACTGTCTTCTTTCATTTTGGTTGCTCTGAAGCGTAGGCTGTGGCTGCTGCTGCTGGAACAGAGACTTTTGGACTTTCTGCCTCCTGACTGCGACACTCACAAGCGTTTGTACGACAGTGACTCTGAGCACCTCGTCTAAGAAAAGACCTGTGATCGACAAACGTCTCCTGTCACAAACTAGATTTTCTAAAGCTTGAAGAAGAGTCAAAAGGAGGTGCAAAAGTCTGGTTTCCTCTCAGACTACTTGAATTGCGACATGACTGCCTACCCCTAACTTTAACGCCTAAACATCCCGTCAGCCTGTCAGTGTTGCTCTCAATAGATGAACACACACCAGAACGCATGAAGCCAATAAAAAAGCATCAAACACAAACCTAAACACACTTAGACAGAAGATGAGCTCAACACTTACTGCGGGCGGTTTGTGTCTTTGCTGTCAGTTTCACAGACGCCTGGTTTGGTGTACGTCCCGACCACCTTCAGCCCGGCGTTCCACTCGCCGCTGAACAGGCCGTCCAGACAGTCGCCGTTGGGCAGGGTCAGAACACCCTGAAGAAGAGCAACGAGTGTTTATGAGATGACATTTAGTGACTGTGGCGGTGACTAGAAACATTAAAGTAATCTGTAGTAGCATCAGACACTGATCCAACACCCACATGGACACAAAGAATAATCACAAACAAAAGAAGGACACAGATAGCGTCGAACCTTCCCGTTGACAGTCCAGTCGTCAGAGAACTCCCCGTGAAAAACCGTGTCGTCCTCTGACACCAACAGACCTGGACCCTGCCAGAAAACAAACAAACAAAATATATATATTTTTTAAATGCCAGATGTATGTCTGCAGGTGATTCATCCACTACAAAAAGCCACAGCTCTCGAGTTGGGATTTCCAAAGTGGATTCTGTTCAGGCAGCTTGGACATGGTTCAGGAATACCTGGCATCTCCAACAAGACTTCAGGTTTCAGAGGACTTTGAAAGAAAATGAGGAACATTTTTTCTTTACTGCACTGGGGCAATAGATGTAAAAAACATATTCTAGTCACAGCTATTACAGATATACAGTCTTTTTTTAAATTATTCTGGGCATTTTCGCCTCTATTTGGTTGATACAGTAGAGAGAGGGACAGTTGGGAAACACAGCAGAGGAAGGACAAGCTGAAAAGGCTCTCTGGGAATCAAATTGGGGGCTTAATGGTTGAAGGCATGTGTGCCCATGTGGTATGTGCCCTAAACACTGAGCTACTGGGCAGCCTCTACAGACGCTTTGTCAGATGGCTCGTTTATTGTCTGCGGCAAATGGTCAGGACATGTTTGGAGAGTTTGGATTTGTCATCTAATGGGCGCAGAAGTGAGGGTGGCACACATTCAGATTCTGCTCATGGAAAAACAGGTGGCGCAGCAAAAGGAGAAACTTGTTGTCGGACTCTATCGGCTGAGCGGTTCAGAACCTCTCTGGCATGTGTTTGTGGGACATGGATCAGTCCCTCTTGGCCAAAAGCCTCACAAGCTCACAGGCTGGAAGAAGAAGTTTAGAGGATATGCAGTAGTTTAAGGGAAAAATACAGTGTTTTAGAATGTTTATAGGTATAAACAATTAAACTACAAAGTGGCTAATTACATGTCTTTAATCTATCATCTGAGGTTTAAGGTTTCGTATTATCGTAAACACACTTTTTAAAACAAAACTAATTTATTTGTTAAACTTTAATCTTTAATCCAGAGCCGTCTGTGACCATTTTATATTAATAAACATTTACACATTTGTACACTCACTGCAAATATATAATAACATATACACATCACTAGAACTACTTTGTCTTTACGGTGCTGAAACCCACACAGACAACCTCGTCAACAAACACAAATGAATCGCTGTGCAGCGAAACATGCACATGAGCAGCAGCAGGTAAATCCTTAAGGTTGCACTTACACTCATCTTGTTCTCTCTAAATGTTCCTTCATAGTACACGCCGTACTGGGTGACGACCACGGAGCTGCCATGCCGCTGGTCGTCCTGCCACAGTCCCATGTACTTCTCACCTCTGGGAAAAACAAATGAGATTCAAGACCAGTGACAGCAGCGTGTCTTTGGTCATTTCTATCGCTTGCAGAAATTATTTTCAATACGGTCACACTGAAATGCTTTTGATTGCCAACTTAAAACTACTGTTGATCAGAAAAATTAATTCTGATCTTAGCTATTATGCAAATTTGCTTGATGTTTTGATAACATGATCACTTTTTCTCTCAAGTGTTTCTCCCTGATATTGTGAGATGATATAGGACAACGATCTTAAAGGAAAACTGCCAAAAACAGCTTGTACTTCTAGACCTCCAGCTTTTACACAGTGTCTGAGGAGGAGTCTTTTCTCGGGTTGAGTCAGAGCCATTGTTCGGACCTGGTGATGTCATCGTAGACGCCGTATCCCGTCTTCCTGTCTTGAACCCAGTGGCCGATAAAAACGCTGGAGGACGTCCTGGCCAGTTTACCGGAGCTCAGCATGCCGTAGCCGTGGCGCTGCCCATCGCAGAAGCAGCCCTCGTACACCTCGCCGTTGGCATACCTGACCACACAGACATGAAGAAATAAATAGCAGGTAGTCAAAACAAAACACTGTGGAGACATGATGTGATACTATAGCTCTACTTGTACTGACTCGTAACCCAACTCGCTGATAATCAGACTTGTGACTTGGTGACAGACACTACTACTTAACACCAGACACGTCTATAATTTGCAGTGTGACTGTGGTGATGAAGACGCTACCTCTGCATGGGTGTGTACTCGATGTAGTTTAGGTCATTTGTCCTTTGTCAAACTGAACAGACTGCAGAAAACGGTACACTCACTTGTACTTGCCGAAACCATGGATCTTGCCCTCTCTCCACTGTCCTTGGTAGGTGTCTGGTCTATGGAGCACTTTGTTGGGTATCATACACTCTCCATAGCTAAATAAAAAAACACAAACCCTTTTACAGAAATGCTGAGACGACCCTTTTATCCTCACTCATTATTCCCACAGTCATAATTAGTAAAAAGCATCTGATTTCAGAGATTCTGAAACATACGTGTGGTGAACATTTAGGTCAGTAAAAATCACTATTTTGTGCTTCTACAATAAGGAAGAGGTTTCATATCGGCAAAGAACAAAATCCTTCAGTAACCAGCTGTTTCATCTTTACTACCACACCAGGGTAATGTACTGACCCGTCCTCCAGTCCGTTCTTAAAGTTCCCGGTGTAAATCCGTCCATCGGGCCACTTCATGGTTCCTCTGTAAAGTAAAACATATATATTACTTTTTAACTACTCCTATTTAGCTTCTTCTTACTGTATGTGGGTATTTAAAGAGGCATAATAAAACTGATTCAAATGTTTAGACAGGGAAGTTCTGCTGGAAACCGTCTACTCACTGACATCATTACTGCCTTCATATATACTCTGATTGCTCATTTATACATTTGCACTGTGTTGCTCTTTGAGCCACACAATTGTCTACTGAGATGAGATTTGACGGCAGAACTAAAATAACTGAGCGTATTCTGCTTTGTGTTGTATACAATTACTGTGTGGTATAAGCAGGGAACATTTTTTTTTCTTTATATTCTAAAAGTTTCAAGAGAACGCCAAAAAGCAGCACATTTTATGAACACACGGTAACACAAGCGTTCTTCAGGCGACCCTACACACACAAAAAACAACCAAATATATCCCCCTAACCTGCCGTGAACCCGGCCCGCGAGCCAGCTGCCGGTGTACTGAGCGTCTCTGAACCGCTCATCTCCGGTGAACGTGTAGGAGGCCTTGCGGGACATCGCGGTCACCCCGGGCGACGACCCCTGACCTCCACCGCCCAGCACCTGATCCACCGCCTGGTTCAGAGATCTGAGCCACTTGTTCTGCAGAGACAGAAGTATGCTTTTGAGGAAAGAGAAGGGTCAACGGGGTTCAGTGTCCAACAATCTTAAAAACATTTTCCCAATACGAGCTGTTCTTGGTAAGTGTAGAAACAGTAAACGCACCTTTTCCTGTGGCGTTGAGGCCACCAGGGTGAAACTTTCCTCTGGACATGTTACTTTGATGGCGTAGCTGAAAATATGCAGAAAGCGTCACAATAATTAATTTGTATGTTTCACAAAAAAGCTAAACAAGATGATAAGATGTGACAAGGCACAAAAAACAAGCAGGCCGGTTGTAAATCCCACAATTGACATCGACCATTGCTCCTTAAACGCTGCACTGACTGCAGTTCCAGTGTCTTAAGATGCCGTTCATCTACAGGCTACGAGATAATAGCTCAAAAAAGGCAAATAAATGTTCATTAAAGAAAAAAGAACTAAGTTCACTTCACCAACATGTGCCTCTGGGGGAAATGTTTGAACGGAAAAATCTATAAAACAGGAAAAAAAATCTATATCGTGATTAAATTGGTTTGTATCCTGCTTTATTGTTAGCTGCTTGTCTGACCAGCCTCAGCTCCATCTACAGACAAACCAATAACCGACGATGGACTTTCTAAGTGCTAAATTCAACATATAAAAAAGGCCCCTCCAGATGTCACACTGTGTCTGTGTTTGTACTGAGGCTATAACATTGCAAAAATTGATCTGTTGATGTGAGCTCCACATCTTCATTATCAATCGTTTTAAACACCAATGTTTTACCGATTTTCTGTCACATCCATTAACTGTTATTTGCGTTTGTCACGTCTGCTTTGATGTTCGTAGTTTGGACTTGTACGACAACAAACTCACAGTCCGCTGCTGCTGTCTTCAGTGACTGGTTTCACCCACAAACAAGTCAAAGGATAGATGTGATGCGTGGAGAACTGCAGAGACACAAACCAGCAAGAAGAGTGAGAGCAGCGCATTTCCTCACGATTTCTCGGCAACTCCCACGTTAGACAACATCGCAATATTCTGGCATTACAAAACTCGCATCATCAGAGGTTACCACATCCAGACTGCTCGTGTGAAAGGGGAGGATGAACAATAGATTGACCTCTTGATGCATAACTGTGGTTTTCTTTTGAGTGTAAATTAAGGAAGTTCCACCAAAAAACTGTCCGTGTCATTTCAGTTTTACATGTTTATGGGATATGAAACGGTCTAGTCAGTGTGCGCCGCTTCTCCATTGCAGGAACAGTTTCCTTCACGGCCTTTTGAGCCGTTTCCACAGCATACATTTGAAAAAAATGTGATTTTCACTTTATACTGAAACAAGGTAGCACAAAGGCTGCCTTCTTATGTTTTTATTTAGTGTAAACCCTCTGCTCCTTCCAGTTTAACTTAATATTGTCTGAGTTTGCAGGCAAATGCATACAAAACACAGCATCCACACTATAATGCACAACATAGGACATGAAGCCAAAACCACAGAGAGAGAAAGAGAGAGGACAGGTGTCACCACTATCTGTCACCACACCACACAGAGAGGAAGACAAAACCCAAGTAGGTGGTCTGGGGTATCCACAGCAAACTGTTCTACGCTAAAACAAACCCAAGCATTGAGAGACACACACAGGACAAGGTAACAGTAAACACTTTATCCTCCAAGTATGAAGAAGCCGTCAGACGCCAACCCGTGACAGTAATGTCTCCTTGTTTGGAGCTTGTGATGTTATCTCGTGGATCAGAAGCATTTCAAAGCTAGAGCCCAGCAGTGAGATGCATCTTGCATGCTATGAGCGACTGCAGCTGTTTGTTTTCCACTAACTAATGTTGGAAACACTTCTAAACCCAAATCACACACAGCAGCCTGTTTGGCAGCAGCTCCAGTTCAGCTCGGACAGAGTTAGCCATGAGAAGAACATGCATAAAATAAACGCTAACACAGGACATCTGCACTGCTGAAGGCCACAGTATGATATGCAATTAATTCTGCCCTCATAGTGTATATGTAGTGGAAAAATGATGAGAAATGCCCCAGAATAACACAATTCTGAGTTGTTTTCTTTTAGTTCTTCCTCTTATTATTATTATTAGTTGCAGTAGTCGTCGCTAAGTGAACCTAATAACTGAAGAATCTGAATCAGTAGATACTAAAAGCTACTGGGTTTCGGGTTGCAATATTATCTGTATCACGCAGGCTGTCCTGTGTTACGTCTATTTATTTGTCTTCAAATCCCATTCAGCCTGTCTGAGCAGAAGCATTGAGCAGAGACCAGCCCACTGACGCTGCTGCACCTGAAGTGTAGGATAAACAGGTTGGAGGTGAAGTCAGGTGAACTAATGCCAGACATACTTACAAAGTTCTGAGAGGGAATCGTACCCTGAGTGAATGAAAGACACAACGCACACATGTCAGTGCCATCCGCAGATAAAGGGAGATGTCCAGAAACACACCTGTCTCTAATGTAAACAGCGTGTGTTGCTGTACATTGTTAGATAAGACGATGTTTACGTTAAAAGCTTTTAAAAAGATCCCATCACGCTCTGCTCAACCCTGTCCTATTACGGAGCAGCTTAGGCATGTTTAGAATGCTGTCGACACATAAGAACAAACATCTTTCTGCGTCCGTGTACCTGTGTGTGCACCAGTGCATCATTAAACAGTATGAACCAGTGGTTGGAGAAGCGACCGGCGTTCTGAAGAGTCAGAGATCTGTTGCTGCTCTCACAAACCACACGGCGCCGTGGGAGACGCAGAACCTCCTGAATAACAAAAAAAACAACACAACACACATTTCAGTAATTACAAAATGACAAACTGGAGCATTCTGGGAGACAAACAGTTACAGCAAATGCCACGTAGCCGCAACTTCCACGGTTCAATTCCTGTTCTCTGTTGCATGTCATGCCCTCTCTCCCTCCTCCTGCCTCCTGCCTGCCCCCTCAACTATCGACTCTACAAAGTCCGACAAACTGCTCGTTGTACTTTAACTAAACTGCTGCATCCATTAAGGAACATGCTGCGTCTACAGATTACCACCTCTAGACTTTCTGTTCCACTCTAGAAAATGATCCTATAAAGACAATCAACAGTTTCACAAATGCAATTTAATCAAATGTACTTTTACCTGCATATCACTGCTTCCATTCTGGAAACATCATATGAGAATAGCGCTGACATATTTTGTACATTTATCCTTGCTTCTTGTTAGATTATTGCATCCAGTGGACCGTTAACAAATACAAAACCACCCCGTGACATTTTTGTCCCTTGTGGTGCAGATTTTGCTTCATAACAGTTGCAGATTTTAACCCAGCTTTCACCATTAACTGTTCCCTAGATCAGGGGGAAGGGGCTGCAAGATTAATGCCAGAAATCAAATAAAATCCAAGAACAATTGGAAATCACATATTTTACTAATAATTGTTCCAAATGATAAATAAAAAAAAATGCTTCTACATACTATATGTTTACACTGTACTACAGTTTATGCAGATGACTGTGACTGATATTTTTATTTTGCTATATTTTCTGTACATATCTATATTACTGCTATTTATAATTATTATTTTTATATAAGGAGCGAAGTCGTGCAATTTCATTATACATTAAATAATAAAAATAAAACGGATCTTCTGCTACTAGCCTATATTATAAAATACTGTATGGTTGATAGGTTGTTGTATTCTTTGTGTTGTCGTTATGCCTTTGTTTGGATAGACCTATTAGTGGTTGTGCATAGTGTTTATATGCTTCAAGTATCTCCAGGAACAGAGAGATTATTGGTATGTTTGGCGTCGGGGGCTAAAAAGTTTGGGAACTCCTGACCTGACTGGTAAAGCTTGTTGATGGCGGCAGCAGACAGTTGGGATTACAGAAATGCATTATAGACACTGTCCAGAGCAAAGAAACTCTCTTTGTGAGTAAGCTCAGCTTGAAGAGGAGCACAGAGAGCCCTGCCAGGAATGCTGTTAGCCCCGAGTAGTGACATGAGCACGGCTGCTGCTGTAGCTTCAGACCCCAGAGTAGAGCAAACTGTCTGATGCGTATCACTTCTGACTGAAGGTTTTGCCACAAAAGAGAAACTGCAGGTTTTAAAAACATAACAAAGAGGCGTGCTCACTGTGGTTTTGCCAGAGTGGGTCTTCCAGAAGATGAAGGTGGTTTCAGCCTCCTTTTTCCTTCTCAGCAGGGATGAAGACAGGGACTCGAACTGACTGAAGCCCTGATGGAGCGACTGATACTCTACAGTTAACTACGGGGAGACAAAGAGGGAGAGACAATGACGGGGCAGCATCTCATAGCCAGTGATCGCAATAATCACCAAATTACTCATACGTGAAAACCAAAAGAGGGAATAGGACGTGAAAGAGAAGAAGAATCAAACTAGTGTTTGAGTGAAACGAGCCATGAAAAGAGCAGAGCGCTTCATCCTCACCACATCGTAGCAGGACGCCAGTTTGAGCAGGACTCGGCTGTACTGGTGGAGCTGCTGCAGAGGCCAGTACAGCAGTGAGACCAGATCAACGTCGCCACTGACGGGCTGGTCTGACACACACAGCTGAGCGAGCTGAGTCCACTGAGAGCCCAAACACTCGCTGAACAGAAACACAGAGAAAAGAGAGACAAAGACGCTCTTAGGACTCAATTATCAGCATCGTCCTGTGTCTGGGATGTGTTAGGCGCTTCTAGTTTGCTTTGAGGAAAAAAAACACAGAAGAACTGGGAATTTAGTACGACCACGACCATCAACATCAACAGCGGATCTTTTCCCGCTAATTTGCTAATTTTAATTTGCTGCCAATTAATTTACGCTGCTGCCGGAACCCTGCTGAGGTCTCATTAATGCAAATGAGGAGTCTGTGTTTTCTCCGGGGCAAGGCCAAGCGAGACGAGCAGAACTACTTCAGTGAGGGCAAAAATAAATAAAGAAGAAAAAAAACAAAAAAAGCTTACAGTGAGAGTTTATGAAGTGATTGGAAGCCGCCCATTACTTGGAAGTCACCGAGTGCAGAACAATACCTACAGAGTCAGACAGGGAGAAATTTTAATTAGGAGTTTTCTTTTAATTCACATCCAGTATAACAATGTCAAGTGAACTTTCAAGTCTTTTGGTAGGAGCAGCTTGTACACTCCATCAGAGGTATTCTCACTAATGAAAACATGTTTAAAGATTCCCCATCAGCCCTTCACTCCTCTCTGATGTCAACAGAAATTTTTAAGCTTTAGTCATAGTTGTTGTAGTGACACTGTCCCACCGTAAACCTGTGTGAGATTAGTAACTGCATAAATTATGAAACTGAAAGAAAAAACAAGCCTTGTATAAAAAGAAGCCTATACTGATATGCAAGCAAGTAGTAACTAACATAAAAAATGAAATAAAAGCAGGGATTTAGTCGAGCCTTATCTGCAATTTCTAAAATCTAAATGTGAGAAACGGTACAGTTTCAGTAAAAAATAAAGTTATTCTACTTCAAGAAAAGAAGTTGGATGAGAAATTAATCCAAAGAGAGAAGACAGAACAAAAACATCATAAAAGAACTGAAAACATCAAAAAGCAGAAACGAAAATTAAGTGATATTGAGAATTTGTTCAAACAATGGAGCATGAAAATGAAATTACTGCAATGTAATGTAAAAGAAAAATAAGCAAAACAAACAAACAAAACAATTTTAAATTACTCATACATGTTTTAAAGGGCATAGCAAGGCTTATCTTACATCTTATTTAAATTAAAAACAGTATATTTGTTAGAAAAACATCACGACAGAGGGAAGGAGGAAAACACAGCACCGTTTCTTGAGACAAAAACCTTACTTTTTGTAAGTGTCCAGGAAAAACTCAGTGTGTGTCAGCAAGGGCAGAGAAGTGACATCACCACCCTGAACGTCATGCAGGAAGTAGCTGAGTGACGTGGCGTGTCGACCAATCAGGGTGCTCAAGTGAACAAAGCTCTCACAGAGAGAGAAGAAGAGATGAGTGCACTGCTCGCCTAACGCTGGACACACACTCTCTGTAGATGAGACACATATGCACACACAGACACTGATTCGTACGAGCGCTCGTTGATGCTTTCGCTGTCAGATGCTCTAATCGTGCTTGTTATCACAGAGAGACCCTCCCACCTCTGTTACGCACTGGAGTGAGCAGGACCTTCCTGATGCTGCTCAGCCAGCAGTAGAACTGTCTCTCCCTGGAGGCCAGCTCATGGATGGCGGAGATGAAACCCATGACGTTGTGGTCCGTCAGCACTGTACAGGTCTGACCACCGCTGCACACACTGCTGATGTAGCCCATCTGCACAGAGAACAGGAGGAAGGTGGTGTTTAGGTTACACATAAACATAGAGTAAGATGTAGGTATGGCCAGAATGTGGAGGGAACTTTCCTTTCCTCTGCAAAACTGCATCCAAAATGGAAATTATACCAAAACAAATAACACTGGATTCAATACACTGTTCTATGACACATTTTAGAGTTTAAAATCCCTTGGAGGATGTGACTGTGTACGTTGTGCCTTAATGATCTGTTATTCTATTTTTTTTAATCTTCATTGTTTTTGATGCTTCCTCTGTGTTCTCAGCTTCTTCTGATTTTTTTCCTTTTGTTCACCAGATTTAGAAATAACAGCCGTCTCTTCATTTTACAAGCCTGTGTCTGTTTTCTGAAGATAGACTCCCTCCATTACTATACAAATTACTTTAGAAGCCTACTTTTTTGTATCTTAACCATATTAAATAATATATAAAAACAAAAACGCTCTGCTGGTTAAATGGGAAAAATGCTCCACCCATCATCCTCCTTAATTGTGTTTTCAGCCAACAAACCTCAATGCAGAAGGGGAGCAGGGTGGGTCTGACGGTAAAACTCTCCGACCTTCTGGGTGACCTCTGGCTCAGTTGTCCTCTTTCACTTTGCGCTGACTCTTGCTGCTGGCCGCAGTACAGCAGCACTGGCTGAACACAGTCGCCATCGGCTAGGAGCAGCGAGTGGCTCTGGCCAGCTGATAGGTTCCAAACGCGAAGACCGTCGGACAGCTGTAGAGGGCCACCAGAAACAAAAGACACAGTGGCATTGGGACACTGCTGGCACTAAACTTTCCAATCACATGTTACTAAAAAGAAAAATGAGTATAAATGAATAAATCTTTGGCTAAATATTAAGATGACAGACAGCTGACCATACCTTGGCCTGCTGAGGCACAGTGACAGGACTGTTGACATGACCAAGCTGTCCACACATGTTGCTGCCCCACGAGTACACCTGCAACACACGAGGACAGCTGCTGTGTGTACGTGTGCACACTCATGCACTTATGTTCGTAAAGACAATCTGACTTTTAAGCTTTGAGAACATTTTAGCAAATCTTCACGTCTTCTGTGTGCTCCGTAAGATTTGATTTTAAGCTTCAGATGAGACTTCGAGGTCTGGATGAGGCATGTATTTGTGATGATAAAGAAGCAGCGTCAGGAGACGTGTGTCAGGAAAGGGAATCGTATCATTGTGTTACTTTGTGTGTGTGTGTGCACATGCTGTGTGTTTGTTACCTGGCACTGAGCGGTGAGAGCCAGCGAATGGTGCGACCCAGCAGCGACTTTAATCACCTCCTCGCCTGTTAAAGACTTGATGCACAGCGGCTGGAGTCTGGACACACATGTACACACAGTTAGCTCTGGTCTTGAGGGTATAATGCATTGCTTCTGACAGTTATTTTACTATTTTATTATAAAATGACTATATGATGAAACTCTTCATAATTAGC